AAATCTCACATCTAACAAAGGGGACGGTGACTTCTAGCTTATTTTTGCTTCCTATCATGTGTGCGTGCGTGCGTGCGTGCGCGCGCGTGTGTGTGTGTGTGTGTTGTGTGTGTGCGATCATGTGTGCGTGCGTGCGTGCGTGCGCGCGCGTGTGTGTGTGTGTGTGTGTGTGTGTGTGTGTGTGTGTTTCTTATTGGAGCAATTGACAGATTAACCTAAGCCATTTTCCTAATCATCTTCACTAACTGTCTTAGCCACCTGTATCTTTTAGGCTGACTCAGAAAGTTCAATTAAATCATTGATCATCTTCATTATGATCTGCAAGTAAATTGCTCAGTGGGGAGTGGGATTTTCCCATGAAACAATCACACTGTACTTGGTACAGCGGGATCCTTTCACATAATGATCACACTATGCCAAATACTGTAGGAACACAACAGCACCAAGTAGGAGAAAGTACAACAGAAGCAAAGGGCATTCTGGAGACAATCCCCCACAGGGCTTTGCCTCTCGAGGATGTAACCATTGTTGTAATTTTTTAAAAAGCTGCTCGAGAGAGAAAGTCGCCAAGCAACAGAGTTCTTGAGGAGGTTTTTTTTTTTTTTTTTTTTTTTTTTTTTTTTTTTTTTTGGGAAAAGGGCAGGATTGTAAAAGGGGGGAAGTAGGGGGAAGGAGACCTGCCTCCTGGGACAGGAGCAGTGGGAAAGAGGAAAAAGAGGCAGAAAGAAAGAGACAGACAGAGACAGAGACACAGAGAGATGGGAGGTGGGCAGGGCCCTTTCAAAAGGAAATATATTGAATAGGCACAGGTGCTCTTAGTGGCAGCAGCTGAGGGTGTATCTTGTCAGAACTCCAAAGGCAGGCCAGTACAAATGCCTAAATACTAACAACCATCATAGCTTTGCTATCTAGAGGGTTGTATTCCATAAGCTCCACTACTAACTGCAGCTCCTCCAACATAGTTACTAAAAAATAACCTCAAAAAATAAAATATCTTGGGGTAACTCTAATCAAGCAAGTGAAAAACTTGTGTGATGCAAACTTTAAGACATTGAAGAAGATACCAGAACATGGAAAGATCTCCCATGCTTGTTAATTAGTATAGTGAAAATAATCATCATATAAAAAACAACCTAACAAGTTAAATGCGATCCCCATCAATATTCCAACACAATTTTTCAAAATCTTGAAAGGACACATTTCAGCTTCATACAGAAAAACAAAAAACCCAGAATAGCTAAAACAAATCTGAACGATAAAAGAAATGCTGGAGGTATCACTATACCTGATTTCAAGTTGTTCTGCAGAGCTATAGTAATAAACACAGCATGGTATTGGCATCAAAATGGACACACTGATCAATAGACATAAATCCACACATCTACCTATGGACGCATGATTTTTTATAAAGAAGTCATAAATACACACTGGAAAGAAGACAGCATTTTCAATGGATTGTTCTGGTCAAACTTGATGGCTACATGTAGAAGAATCTAAATAGGTCCATACCGCTCTGTATAAAATTCAGCTTCAAATGCATCAAAAATCTCAACATAAAACCAGTTACACCAAACCTGATCAAAGAGAAAATGGGGAATAGCCTTTAACTCATTGGTACAGGAGACAACTTCCTGAACAGAACATTGTTAGCACAGGCTCTAAGATCAACAATTAATAAATGGGACCTCAAGAAATTGAAAAACTCCTGCATGACAAAGGACATCCTCATTTAAACAGAGCAGTAGGCTACACAATGGGAAAATATGTTGCCAACTATACAGCTAATAGAGGGGTAATATCCAAAATAGATAAAGAACTCAAAAAACTAGTTATCAAGAAAACAAATAACTCAATTAAAAATGGGTTACAAATCTAAACAGGATTTTCAAAAGAGGAAACACAAATGGCTGAGAAACACTTAAACAAATATTCAATATTCTTAGTCATCAGGAAAATGGAAATCTTACACCTGTCAGAATGGCCAAGATCAACAAAACAAGTTACAGCTCTTACTGGAGAGGATGTGAAATAAGGGGAAATCATCACTTGGTGGGACTGTGAACTTGTACGGCTACTCTGGAAATTAGTGTGGGGGTTTCTCAGGGAGATGGGAAACCATCTACTCCAAGATCCAGCTAAACTAATCTTAGTCATATACCAAGCATAATTCATCCCACCACAGAGACACACTTGTTCAGCCATGCAATTGCGGCACAGATGGATGGATAAAGGAAATGTGGTATGTTTACACAATGGAATACTACTCAGCTATTAAAAAACAAAATCATGAAATTGTCAGGTAAATGGATGAAACTATAAAAAAAATCATCCTGAGCGATGTAACCCAGCCCCAAAACACAAATATGGTTTGTATTCACTTATATGTGGATATTAGCTGTTAGGTCAATGATAACTAAGCTACAATTGGTATAACCACAGAGGTTAAGGTAAAGAGTAAGGGGTGAAGAGGGAAAGATATATCTCCATAGGAAAGGAAAACAGGACAGACAGTTATGGATGAGTGAGCTGGAACCTCCCAGGACGATCAAGTATGAGGGAGGAGAAAAGAGGGGGTCTAGAAGAATTGATGGAAGCACTCAAACACTGACCCTCCACCTTGAAATTGCTATTCCTACAAATTTGTTTTCTCATTACTTCGTGAGTTTCAAACACGTCTAAGATGGGAGAAAATGTATAATGAAGTCCCATAAACCCACTGGTCAGCTCCAAAAACCAGATAGACAACCCATCTAGCTGATGGTCTGTCCTCTATGCCAATTCTTTCCAGTAGTATTTGGGAGGCAGAAATCAGATTTATTATATAATTTTATCCATAAATATCTCAATATGTGTCTAAAAAATAAAGGCTTTTAAAATAAATATAACCACAATACCATTATTGCCCTCAATATCATCAAATGCCTACTGATTATCAAATTTTTAATTGTCTCATAAATATCATATTCTTTAACATAGTTGGTTCAGGATTAAAATAACTTCAAACATTCTATAAATTTTGTATTTTCAAATAGAGACAGAATCAAAATTAAGTTTCTTTATTCCTCCCTTATATTTATGGAAGGACAATAACAGGGAGGGTATTTTATTATTATTATTATAAAGGTCTTGCAAGGCTGTGTTACTCACTAGAAATCTGTCCTCGTGGGTCCTGTGTCTAGAGCCTTACACAACTAGAAGCAATTGGTTGTTAAGCTGCAGAACATGTTGGCAGATCAGTCATTTCCCAATGGAGTCCAGCCACATTGGCAGTCACCCCATCTATGCCCTCAGCTCTCCAGTGCTCCTGTGCAGCCGTATTAAGTTAAAAGGTTCACGGGACCTCTGCTGCAAGATAGCATCTTCTACATAGGAAAGCTGCACCCATTAAATCTCACCCATTAAATATGGTCACCTAAACAAGACCTCCACAGTGACCGTCTGCTGACATTCCATCGTGACTGGGAAAATCTCACAAAGCCCCACCCCTAGATGAAGAGCAACAGGCAATTAAGGGCTGCCGAGAAAAGGAGACTCAGTCATCCCCGGGGACTAGCCCCTTGATAGACTATCCAATCCCAGTGGCCAGCCCTAAAAACATACACATACAAGTAACAGTAAATAGTCTTAGCAGGTTGTATGTGTGTGTGTGTGTTTGTGTATATTTGTAATAAAAGCAATTAAAGATGAGGTCATGAAGTTGATCGGGAATGAAAGGGACATGAGAGGAGTTGGCAAGGGGAATCCCCAGCCCCACCCTACCCCCACCCAAACAAAAGGTAAAATAAATAGAAATTTAAAAAAGAAAAAGCTTGAGGGTTCAGAAGCCAATGAAGCCACCAGGGGGCACTCAAGGAACTTGCTGAAGGTCAGCATTGCCTAAAAGACAATTTGGCAGCAGTAACACAGAGGAGAATGAAATGCCCATATGTAGCTGGACTTTTCCCTGGTGCAGGCCAAATTCTGCCAACAGGTCAGAAGGAAACAGGTCTCAGGAAGCTACACTTTGGCCCCTACAGTGCTTGGGAAAGGCCAACCTTAGCCATCATGTGTCTTATCAGAGGGTTTGGTGTTTTTACTCCTCCCACCAGACAATGGTTTTCCTTACACATCTGCTAGACAACAGAGAACATGTACAGATGTGAGCACCCTGTAGCTCACTCCTTGTGTTTTGTTTTGTGACTTGTTTGTTTCTTTTGCTTTTTAAGGAAGGAAATGGTTTATTTCAGCTTACAATTCTCTCAGGTCACACTCCATCCCAGAGGCAATTCAGGGCAGAATTTAAGACAGACACCTGGAAACAGGAGCAGATGCAGAGGCCATCTTACTTACTGGCTTGCTTTTCCCATAATCCTTAGTTCATGTTTCCATAATTACATAAACAAAGGCAGCTGCAGTATAAACAAATGTTAGGCGTCAGTTAATGCCATGTTGCATACACGCAGGGAACCTTGGGACCCAGATTCTCCATTTGACTTTGCAAGTATCTCCTGTATCTACTCCTTTATAGAAACTGAGGAGGATGAGACAGAAGCCATTCACAAGGTCCCTTCGTTCTTGGCTATTTTTGCCTGGCACTTATATGCCAACAGTCCACTGTCTCTGGTGTTTTGTGTTCCCAGTGCTCAGTTATTCACAGTTATCCATTGTCTGAACATGTTAAACACTTCCCATTTTCAATCACTCCCCATGTTGAGTTGTGTGATGAAGTCTCTATCTAAATTCTCCCTGAAGATGAATCACCCCTTGGTTCAACCATTAATGCCTCCCTGTTTTCCACTTAGGAGCAGATCGGAACCTCTGTGTCATAGAGTTTATGTTTAGGTATCCTGATTGTAATTAATAATGGCCCCAAAGCCCAAGAGTAATGATGCTGACAATTCAGATAGCCAAAGAGACAGTACAAAGTACTTTCTTCAAGAGAGGAGGGGTGCATTCACAAAACATTTATTGCAAAGTATTGCTTACATAGCTATAGAATTAGTATATTGCTGTATATTATAATCATCCTACTATGAGTTACTATCAATTATTGTTTCTTTCTTTCTTCACCTAATCTACAAATTGTACTTTATCATAGATATATATGAATACAGAAAAACAGACTTACTGGGGTTGATAGTCTGCAGCTTCAGCCATCTACTGGGGGACTCCTGAAATGTAGCCTCTGAAGATTATGGGGGCCACTACAGCTTCCCAAGGCTGCTGTGACACACCTTTGGTGACGATAACAGCCTTCTGTATAAACCACATGAGCTTTAGGATTCAAATTATGATATGTGCACTACATTGGGTAACTGCCTAATGCTAAAATGTCAACTGAGACACAATAAATTTTTAGAGTTTATTTGAGCAAACACTAATAATAGTTCTTGGGCAGCTCCAAACCCAGTGTGGTCCAGGCCCTTCACATGGGAACTCATCAGGGTGACATGGAAGCCAAGCCAATGGGATTGGTTACAGTTCCACAGCTGTTTATTTGGTGTCTTCCCATTGGAGAGCTCCTAATTGTGTAAGTTGGTAGGTTTTGGGGTTTTTGTTTTGTTTTGTTTTGTTTTTTGTCTACTTCTGATTGGTTGTGTTTAATTTTTTGTTTTTTATTTAATACGCAAATTTATAAAAACTAGTTCAACTTACATTTTGCTTATGTTTTCAAATCAAGCAAAGCTAAGGTCATGTAGGAAGAAGACTGAGACTTCACGGTTTTTTATGGTTTGGGCTTGGCCTCCATTTTAATGCTTTAACACTATGGTCACCAATGGAGAAAATCAGGTCCAAGCCAAGAGGGAGAGAGAGAGGGAGGAGAGAGAGAGAGAGAGAGAGAGAGAGAGTCATGATAGAATTGCTTTGTATAGTGAACACAGGTTATCTGAATACATTGTACACAATAAATGTTCACAAAATCAGATTCACATTCCTTCCGAGAACCACAGGTAGACTGTCTTTCTCTTGGCTTTCAGTTGGATTGCTCACAGTCCAACAGGTTCTGGTCCCCACAGGCCCCACTTCAGCTCCTGCCATGGCCGCTCAATGAGCAGTGTCAGGGCCAGCCCACAGAGGAAGGTCAGCACACAGTGTCCAGAGAGAAGATAGAACTGTGGACAAAGAAGGCACAGTGAACAGCTTATCCATTGGCTACCCCATGTCTGGATCTGAGAGTATACAGCCCCAATGCTACGAAGCAAAGCAGAGCAGGGAATAAACGGTCCCAAACATTAAAACAGTTTCCCCTAGACTGAAGTCCTCCCCCTACTTCCTGCAGCTAAATCAGAGAGCAGAGCAACTCTAGACAAGAACAGCACCAAGTCAGTTCCTAACAAAGCCAGCGGGTTTGCTTTGCTGCTCAAGAAGAGTGAGTGGTAGAGCTAAGACAGGACCAAAGGCCAGGCATTTGCTCACCATATTGGTGTCAGTATAGTGAATAAGGGTCTCCTGCAGCCCGTTATAGAGAATGATCACAATGGGATGCACAAGGTAGCAAGCGTAACTGATAGTAGCCGGGAGACGCCAGATGCCACAAGAAAGCACATGCTTCACCAGACCTGGTGGGAAGAGTTACAGAGTCACAGAGTTGCAAGCCTATCTCTGGTGCTACCTGACACATTGTAGGCACTCTCTTTTTAAAAGAGCATTTGTGTGCATGTATGCATGTGTACCTATGTGTGCATGTGTGTACATGAGTTTGTGTGCATGCATGCATGCGTGCGTGTGTGTGTGTGTGTGTGTGTGTGTAATCATGCATGCATGCATGTGCATGTATGCATGTGTCCCTTGGAGGCCAGAAGAAGATGTTGGATCCCCTGCAGCTAGAGCTAAAGGTGGTTGTGAGCTGCCAAACATGGGTGCTAGGACCAAACTTAGGTACTTCAGCAACAAACACTCTTAACTGCTGAGTCATCTCTCCAGCCCCTTCAAAGCCCTATTCTGTCTCTTGACATCTCCTAGCCACCACTCAATTGCAATGCCTTGCAGGGGGAAAATTCTTTCTTATCTATTGCCAGATCCCAACTATATAGAACATTGTCTAGCACAAAACAAATATGCAAACACATTTACACAATTAAGTGAATACACCTGGAAATTGTCAGACCACCCCCCCCCAACCACTGGTAACACCTGGGGTCCCTTTGGTGACTGTGTCCATGAGGCCTGGAAGATGTGTGTTCAATCAGCAAGTGGGGATCACCTGTTTTCTCTTTAAGCCTTGAGTTCCTGCCAAGTTGACTGAAGCTGAGCTCTTTTCATCTACAGCCTGATTCTGAACTCATCCCATGATATCCCTAGAGTACACGGCTGTCCTGCCCATCCCCACATCATCCCCAAGCCCAGGCTCTGTTCCATGGCTTTAAAGATTCAGGAAGTTTGGAAACAGATTTTTCTGGATGGTGCATGAGTGATGTTTGGTGGTATCTCTTTACCTCATTCCTACCTCAAGCCAAATAGAGAAAGTGAGGAAAATGTCAGGAGTCTTGACCATCTCTCTCTAGTCAGAAGATTTCTTTCTTCCTATATTTGTCCTTCATCTGTATGCCCCTCTGCACACCAAAATCCAATGGCACAAAGATATTCTCTCTTGTTGTGGAAGGGGTCTTAGTGATTCTTTGGCTTCCTCCTCTCAGATGGAAACTGAGACCTAAGGTGGGTGTGACCAGAACCTTGTCCTCTGTTACTACACTGCATCATTTTCTCACTATTTTTCGGAGTTCTGGTCTACCTCTTATTTCATGGAGGGACCCAAACCTTGTCTTTTAGGACATAACTTAGTTCATAAACCAACACAAAAAATAAAAATAATGTGTGAGAGCTATTCACCCCAAGGATAGAGATAAAGTGCTCTTTCTCCATTGGTATCAATTAATCCTCCCTACCTCTGGATGCACACCTTGTCTTTTAACTTTGTCACCCTCTAGAATAG